AAGGAAGATGAGTCTTCTGGACTGCAGGTCCAGAACCATATCTCCTGTGCTACTTAGCTGTTCAGAAACCTAGCTTTCTGGAAAAGGCAAGGCAAGATGATATATTTGAAACTATAAATAATGGGAAATTCAAATGTATCAATAAATATTAAAAAATTAAATGGTAAATTGTTTCATTTATTAATTTGTAAAATGATACAAGGTTATTTTGTTATTGTTGTTCGGTCATTTTTCAGTATTGCCATATGAAAAAAATTCTAAATCAAGATTGATTTGAGAAATGCAGTTAAAAATTAACAACTCTGAGATATCATACTATGTTTATCATTAACTAACATGAGAGAAAAGCAAAGTAACAAATGCTAGAAGGGATGTGGAAACATAGAGACACTGATGCACTGTGGTTAAGTTGTGAACTGGTCCAACCACTCTAGAAAATAATTTGGAGTTACACTCAAAGACTGTTATGGACTGAGAGGGTCTCAATAGCCTATATTTTTATTGCTGATATTTTAATGAGACTGAAGGGAGAACATTTTTCACCATGTTATTTATACCAGAATCTATACCATATCTAATTATTCTCAAGGGATGCATCAGAGAATCCATAGTAATGCGGGTTATGATGATGTTTACTTGGAATACTCTGGTGATTTCACAGCACCTTCTCCAAAAGACACTGGGCAATATATTTCACTGAGTTCTATAAGAAAAATATCAACAAAAATCTTCAGAATGCCTGCAGGTTCAGAGGTTTAGACTTCAGTGCCTGGCCATATTTTTGAGTCTGCCAGTGAGAGTGGAATTAAATATGAGGAAAGAAATAGTCTTCAGATTATGTATAGAATTGTAAATAGGTGGAGACCCTAATGACAATAACAACATGTACTTGAAAGTATATGCATCAGAACAAAGAACTCAGGTATTTTCATTAAGATGATATTTTCATTTGTGACTGGTTAGTTTGCTCAGGTACTGTTGTGTGAACTCAGAATCCTGGGAATGATCCCTGTGTAAGTGATTTTTTTGTTTGTTTTTTTTTTTTTTGGAGGTAGCTCGGCATCACACTATGGATAGTCTGGTGGGTTGGAATTAAGTAAGACCTTGGTCCAAATTCTTCTTCTTGCTCTTATGAGCTTCTCTCTGAGATAATTTCCAATTCTTCCTGTATATACAACTTCTACATATTTGTTTACTTGCTTTCTCCTCCCCAATGACCGTGAGTTAGCTGAAGTCAGGGGCTGTCTTTTGCCTTTCTTTGTAACCGCAATGCTTACCACAGTGTCTGGGACGTAGTCGCCAATAAATAAATGCTTGTTGACTTACTGTGACTTGACTATGGGTAAACCTCAACCTCCCAGAACCGTCCATTATCATGCCTGTAACATTTGCATAGTATTATATTTGTAACTCAAAGACTCATTTTCAGGCTCATCAGAGATGTTATATCTAACATACTTTGGGAATCTCAAGAGTGTTATGTACATGAGTCCTATACATTGTTCTGATCTTTGATGATGGACCCCTGTTCTACTTTCAATTAATTGTACATTTGTGTTACTGAACACAAGGAGAGTTGGACAAGAGAGTCAATTCCTTACTACATTTTGTCTGTAGCTCAATCTTTATGATGGAGTACTCCAAAGATAACTGAAGGGCATAGGAGCTGTGTGTCAGCTCTAAGTTCACCTCTCAGGTTCCCCCATCCCCTCTTCTGTAATTTAATTTTGTTGCAACAAAGAGGGATTGGCCTTTTAAATAAATTCAATGGAGGGAGCGCTGGATTTGGAAGCAGAAGATAGTGATTTAACCCTGACTTTGTTATGTACAACCTGGGGAACCTAGAGTCAGTCACTGCATGTCTCTGTTCTTCTTCTGTCAAGAAAAGGCCTGGATAATTGAGCTCTGAGCTTCCCTTCAGTTTTGAGTTTCTGCTCCTATGATCATATTTGAAAAAAAAAACATTCAGAAAGAGAGATGATGGACTTCACCAAGGGTCTCCGCAATTCCCCAGCTGTTTTCTAAGAAAGTGTATGACTTTCAGTAACTCTTTCAGGTGGAGGCCGCTTTTGAATGACTTGAAATAGATGATAAATCTCCTAGTTTCTTCTGGCTGGAAAGTGGACATTTACACATGCAGGAAATAAAGCAAATGTTACTCATTTCTCAGTGAAAATTAAAATGAGGAGAATGCTGATATGGGTTAAAACCCTTTAAATTTCTATTTTGTCATGTTGTCCTCTGAGAATTCTGGGTATGTGGCTTCTTTCCCAGTCTTTGTTATAGAGGGGGAAAGAGAAGCCTGGAACACAGTAGTACGTATTTTGATTATGTATGTGTGAGTGTGTGTCAATGTGAGTGTGTATAATTGTGTGTCTGCTATAGGTGAATGTACCTAGGCCTGCTTATAGGGCAGGAGGTGAGATTATGCTAGGTCATTGAATTCAGGAGCATTGAATTTTGGCAATGCTGTTAAAATGATAACACTGTGAGATTGATGGGATGTTTGGAAGGTTTGAGAATGAATTGTAATGTTGACTTATGAGTTCAGGTTTGGGGGAAAACTTGGGAGAGTGTGAGGTGCAGAAGAGTATTTGCGGTGAAGTGGAAGGATGATACAGCTCTATCTATCTGTCTGTCTATGTCACTATCTATCTATCTATCCATCCATCTATCTATCTATCTATCACAAGCTTCTCTCTCTCCATAGATGCATAGAATCATACTTATATATTAGTATATGAACAATTTTAAAATATAAATATATGCACAATTTATGTATATTTATATGTATAAAACACACTTCTATACACATAGATACATACACATTTGTATGTATATTTGGATATCATTCCATCTATTGCAGTCTGAAGTATCTATGTATATATCTACCTATTTATTTATCTATCATCTATCTCTTTATATGTATATTTGTATATTAGTATATTTCTCTCTACCTCTCCCTCCATCTCTCTCTCTATCTCTCATCTCCATCTCCATCTCCATCTCTACCTTAGCTCTTTCTCTGTCTTGCCCTTCTGCCTTACTAGACATAGTTATCTCTCCAGCAGGTGCCTGAAGAAATAAATTGACTGTCCCATTCCTAATTCCTTTTCAAAGTCAGTTGGCTCTTTCAGTAGTTCATCCTGTACCTGATCAGAGAAATTGGTTCCTTTCACACAGTAAGAAATTCTATGCACTGATTATGGGAAGTTTAAATTGCTCTGGTAGGGGCAGTACAGGTTATATTGTCCAAAGAGCTCATGTTATAGATCCTGTGCCTGATGCCCAGAGGAAGCAAGAAGTGAGAGATAAAGAGGTGACACTAAGGATGAAAAGCCCAGGAAGGAGTAAAACTAATTCTAAAAACCAGATCTCTTGAATTCCCAGGTCTATCTTCTGATCATTGAACCAGAGGGAATATGTTGGCTAAATTCAGGCTAGGACTTATCTAACTAGGGGAAAAATGCTCTTGCAAGAAAAAGGAGAAACCTTATTCACCTTATTTACAGGAAAGATTCTCAGTGACTGAGGATAAAATGGGAATTTATTTGGGTGGGAATTTTTCAGCCTGAAGAACAAAAAGACTTCTGTTAGCCATCAAATTTATGGGCACAAACGGGACATCTGTTACTTTTCGGAAAGTAAAGTCAACATGGACAAGAATGAGGAAACATATCTGAGCAGTAAAATGTTGATCAATTACTTGTGTGTAAACTCAGACTCAGAGCTCTTGAAATGCCTGGCAAGTGCAAAAAACACTGGACTGCAGAGAGGAGGTTAGGGAAAGAAAGAAACCAACAAAAATATGATAAGTAATTTGGAAGAGGTGACATTTCTACTGTGTCATGTTCTTTTTTCTTTAAGCCTATGACATAAATATTAAACTACATATATTGATCATTTGAACAGAGGACAGAACAATCAACCAGCTAGATAGTACTGTATAAAATGCAAGGCCTGAAGTCAGGAAGAATCCATTTCATGAGTTCAAATCTGGCCTTAGATACTTACTGGTGATGTGACCCTGGGTAAGTCACTAAACTATGTTTGCCTCAGTTCCTCAACTGTAAAATGAACTGGAGGTGGAAATAGCCAACCAGTTCAGTATCTTTGCCAAGAAAAACCCAAATGGCATCATGCAGAGTTGGACACAACCGAAAAATGACTTAACAACAAAGAGAGTAATCACTGTTACTGGTTTCATAACTTTTTGTATTTCTAATTTTTTCTGAGGAACACCACAGTAGTGTCAGAATAATTGGCTTCAAGTTCTGACTTCAGTACTAATGGTCTTTCTTACTTTCCATAAAACACTGAATTAGTTTGCGCCTTGGTTTACCATCCTGTGAAGTAATACTATCAATAATATTAACTCAATATTTACAATGTCTGAATGTTTTCAAACCACTTTCCTGAACACAGCCCTTTGAAATATGCTACAAATGTGTTAATCTTTCCCTCATCCCTATCTTTCTCTCATTCTCTCTTTCTATCTAAATCTATAGATAGATTAATATAAATAAAATGATGTCGATATAACTCTCTATATAGATATGTATACATAAATACTTGTATTTATATATGTATATATGTGTGTTAATGCAAAAATGTGAGTATATTTGTGTACGTGTATGTGCACGCACATGCATGGAATTCATTTCAAACATCCTTGGTGGTGATGGTCTTCTTTATTAAATTTGCAGTGCTAATGTTCCTAATGTATAACTTCCTCTGGTCATTCTGTAGAACAAAGTATTTAAAACTCTGTGCAGAACTGTTGGATACATTTTACCCTCACTATTTCTACTGCAAGCTCTGCCTTCATCTGGTTATGGCTTTAAAATAGAAGGTGATTTTTCTTTTGTTCAGGTTTACTGGGTCAGAGTAGTTTTCAAGTTTTCTCTGCATAAGTACTTTAATTCATTCTTCTTTTCAACACTTTTCCTGCTACTCATAGTGTTACTTGATTTTAGTTAAATTACAGCTCACCAGCGTGAATGGGCAACTTCTCAGTCATCACAGAATTCTTCCTCATGGAGTTTTCCAGCATGAGGGAGCTGCAGGTCCTACATGCTCTGCTGTTCCTGCTCATTTACCTGGCTGCCCTGATGGGAAATCTTCTCACTATTGCTGCCATTATTACTGAGCCACACCTTCACTGCCCCATGTATTTTTTCCTGAGCAACTTATCCCTCCTGGATATCTGCACCATCTCAGTCACGCTTCCTAAATTCATTGTGAATTTCTTCTCTGGCACTCAGTCCCTGTCCCTCCTTGACTCTGCTGCTCAGATCATCTTCTTTCTCTTTTTTTCAGCAACAGAGCTTGCTTTGCTTGTGGCCATGTCCTATGACCGATTTGTAGCCATCTGCCACCCCCTACACTATGGCATCATCATGACGCCGGCACGGTGTGTCTGGGCAGCAGCTGGCTCATGGCTCAGTGGGCTTATCTATTCAGCTCTCCACACTGGGAACATGTTCCGCCTGCCCTTCTCAGGACCCATTGTGATCCACCAGTTTTTCTGTGATGTCCCTCATGTCTTGAAAATCTCAGCCTCTGATGCATTTCATATTGAGTTTGTATTGATTGTAGCAAGTTCATGTTTTTTGCTATGCTGCTTTGCCTTTTTAATTGCATCATATGTTCGCATCATTTCCAGTGTGCTCAGGATTCCTTCTGTGGAAGGACGCCACAAGGCCATTTCAACCTGCTCCCCTCAGTTGGCAATCCTTATGTTGTTTCTCATTTCTGCAGTGACTGCAGTCCTCAAGGACACATCAGACACATCACCTATTGAAAACCTCTTAATTGCAATGACCTATACAATACTGTCCCCATTTATGAACCCCATCATGCACAGCCTGAGGAACCAGAATGTAATAGTTGCCATGGGCAAGATGATCAGGAGGATTTTTTTTTTCTAAGAAAGAAATGTCTATCCTTGAAAACATAAAAAAGCTGAGGAATATGTATTTGGCCTGTCATATGTGTAAGATGACATATGAGGTGGCCTAAAATGGGGAGGTATGGCCTCCAAAACATTACCACCCATGAAAACAGACCCTTAGATGTAATGTTCCATGAGATGGAATGAATCATTCATTTATTTTCACATAGCACAGACCCATCCTGCAAGTGGTTATTGTCAAAAGTGGAATTATCACGACACCAGGTCATTGTCTTTGGGCAACAGTGCCATGAGAAGAATGGAGGGGATAACTCATTGATCCCCTGAACACTTGTAGATAAGCTTAACCCAAAACAGCCATCAGGATGGATGGGTTGTTACCCCCCCCAAGTTATTTCTTGCCTTCTTACTTTCTTCCTTTTGTTTCTACCCATCTTTATGATGATAATGTCCTTCTCCTTCTTTTTGTGTTAAAGATCTAGTCATCCTTCAGATACACATACACATATACATATGCATATATATACATATATACTTATACACACCTATAGAAACAGATCTATAAATACATATACACACACATACATATATGTATGCATGTATATAATAGGTCCATGGAAACTTCAACACTTTGTTCCTGAGTTTGCTCATTTGTAAAATGAGGGGGTTGGGCTTGAAGACCACTACAGTCATTTCATCTCAATTTTGATGTTATGATGTTGCACACAGTCTTTCCTCGTCCACCAAGCTGGAAGTAATATTTCATTATGCAAATTTTATACATTGCCTATCTTTATTTTTCCTATGTGCTTATTGTTTTTTATTTTCTATCACATCTAGAGGTAGAAATGCCTTGTCTCTCCTGGTAGATTCTCTGTTCCCTTTCAATAGCTGTCTTGAAATGATCATGTGTATTTCAATTGGCACAATTTGAAGTTACAATTATGAAAAATATGGTAATTTGTTGTATTTCAGGGGAAATATCTGGTGTGAATTTTAAAAATGCAACCACCTCAGGTGATTAATGATTTGTACTAATTAGGCCCTAGGTAAACTTCTTGATGGCAAAGACTATTTCAGTTTTGCCTTTATATCTCTAGTGCTTAAGAGGTTTTTCACACAAAGTAGGTGTTTTATAAATTATTATATATTCATTTCAAGCTTCTTGTGAACAAAAGCCTTCTTACATAACTTTATATTTACCTAACGTCTAAAATGGCATCTCTTTCTTAGCAGCAAATTAATGAAAATTTGTTTAATTGAATGGCTGCTGAGAGAGAGAAAGAGAGAGAGAGAGAGAGAGAGAGAGAGAGACAAAGAGACAGAGACATAGAGAGAGAGAGAGGGAGAGACAGAGAGAGAGAGACAGAGACAGAGAGACAGGAAAAGAGAGAAAGAGACAGAGAGAGACAGAGACAAACAGACTAAGAAACATAGAGAGACAGAAGACAGAGAGATTGTAGTATGAATGGATAGATTTATGGATTTAGGATGGATTAATGGAAAGAGAAAAAGCATTTATTAAGTGCTCATTTTTGGCCTACTAAAGAGCCAGAGATAGATTGCAGAGTTAAGGCAAGGACTCACTTCAGCTTTCCTAAATTTCCTTCCAAAAAACTTAAAATGGTGCATCAAATCAAATTCTAGAGTGGTATAACCAACAAAAGCCGGGGTAAAATAATTTTCCAGCCCAAGACAGCCAAGGAGGTTGGCAAGAAATGTCTCTTTCACCAGAGTGAGGTTTAGGCCTTGATTACAGTGCAGTGCAGGCTGCACCCTGGAAAGCCAGCAGTGGGCTGTGGGAGTGGCTACACTGTTCCTAGGTTTTGGGAGAAGAACTCACTATTTAGCAAAAAATACTGGAAAAACTAGAAAGAATTTCACCACAAACCAGGTGAAGAGTAGCATCTCACATTGTTGAACAAGTTAAAGTGAAAATAGATATGTTTTAGACATAAACACTGGTATCATAAGCAAATTAGGGGACCATGGAATATTTTACCTGTCAGATCTATGGATAAGGAAAGTATTTATGACCAAATGTGATAGGTAACATTATAGGATGCAAAACGAATCATTCTGACTATATTAAATTAAACATTTTTGCTCAATCACAACCAATGTAGCCAAGATTGTAAGGAAAGCAGGAAACTGGGGGGGGAATTTACTGCAAGTTTCTCTGTTAAAGGCCTCATTTCTCAAGCATATAGAGAAACAAGTCAAATTTATAAGAATACAAGCCATTCCCAATTGATAAGTGGTCACTGTTGATTAGAGAAAATAGCTCTGAGGTACCAACTCACATCTGTCAAATTGGCTAATATGACAGGAAAGGAAAATGATGAAGGTTGATGGAGTTATGGAAAATTGTAACCCTAATGCACTGTTGGTGGAGTTGTGAACTATTCCTACCATTCTGGAGAATAATTAGGAACTATGCCCAAAGATCTAAAAGTCCATGAATACCTTTTGGCCCAGCAATACCACTACTAGGTCTGTAACCAAAAAAGTTCAAGAATTAAAGGAAATGAAATATGTAAAGTAATATTTATAGCAGCTCTTTTTCAGATGGAAAAAAATTCAAAATTCATGGGATGACCATCAATTAACGATTGGCTAAGCAAATTGTGGTACATGATTGTGATATGATACTATTGTCTATAAGAAATGAGGAGCAAGATGGCTTCAGAAAAACCTGAGAAGACATATAAACTGCTGCAAACTGAAATGAGCAGAGCCAGGAGAAAACCATAAACAGTAATAAAAGGATTATAAGATGATCAACTGTGAATGACTTTGCTATTCTCAGCCATTCAATGATCTAAGACTTAAAATAAAAAAAAATGCTATTTACCTGAAGAGCAAGAACTGATGCAGTCTGAATGTAGATTGAACCTTAATGTTTTTTTAACTTCCTTTATTTCTCTTATTTTTTTTTGTATGTGTGTGTTTTATTTTGTCTGTGTTTTCTTTTGCAACATGTCTAATACTGAAATAAGTTTTGGATGACTGCATATGTATTATCTCTATCACATTGCATGCATTTTCAAAGATAGGACAGAGGGAGTGAGGGAATTTATAACTCAAAATTTAAAAAAAAGAATACACAAAATTGTTATTGCACCTAATTGTATAAAAATTATACAAATTATCACTTGGAAAAAAAGCAAAAAAGAGCTAAAGATACAAACACCACTAATCCAGATGTCTCCAAGATGTGGCATTCTAGTACAGGAAGCTAAAACATAAAGGGAACTGGAAGGGGAAATGCCTATATAGAGGCAGTAATGGTAATAAAAATTATGAATTTCAGGGAGTGAGTTGACCTGGTAGTGACCATCAGAATTGCTGGGGTCCCTCATTAAATGGTTGTCCCTTCCCTCCCCATGACCTTTTCTCTCAAATATTAAAAGAGCTCAGTATTGCAATGCCAAATGCACCCATTTACTATTATTTTTCATAATATTTGTCATGTAATTTGTCATGTAAATTTTATCTGCAGATATGACTTAATCAGCTATTAGACTGTATACTCCTTAAGGGTAGAAAGGAGAGTTTATTCTTAATAGTGTATTCTAGGTCCCATGAAACACAGCAGAAGCAGATCTTGCACATTGTACTCTTCCTGTTGATTTACCTGGTGCTCCTGAGATGGGGAATCTTCTTGCCATTGTTATCTCCCTCCTTTGCTCTCCTACCTAGTTTTTCTCCTGAGCAACATATGCTTGCCATTTCAGTCATGTTTCATAAATTCATCATAAACTCCTTGACTGTCCTTCAACCCCTCTTCTTTCTTAGTTGCACAGCTCAGGTCTGCTTCCTTCTCTTCTTTGAAGCAGCAAATTTTGCTTTGCTAATGGCCATGTGCTATGCCTTTTTGGGTCCATCTGTCACCCCCTACACCATGGCATCACCATGTTGTCAGTACATTGTCTTTGGGCAGCAGTTGGCCCGTAATCTACAGACTGAGGAATCAGAAAGTCACTGTTGCCAGTGGCAAGATAATTCAGAGGGCATTTTTCCCAAGACAAAATGTCCATCCTTGAAAACATAAAAAGCTAAGAAATATGTCTAAATACGCCTCAGATGGTCTAAAATGGGTAGATATATCAACAAAACAATCCTCCCCAGAAAATCACCCCCTTGCACTTAAGGTTACATTGAATAGAGTGAATCAATCATTTGTTTTTACCCATCCTACAAGTTTTTATTTTTTGTAGTGTATTATCATGGCATCAGCCCATTTACTTAGGGTCTACTTTATCAGCAGAAAAATGGATGCAACACTAATTCTTCCCCTTAGCAACAAAAGATAAGTTTAGCCAAAAGCTGCTCTCTGGATGGTTGTATTGTTTCCCTAGCAACCCATATCATGCCTTCACACTTTCACGTCTCTGCTTCTACTCATCATTATAATGGCCATGTCCTTCCCCTATCTACTCAACTTTAACAACTCATAGACCACTGTACAGGCAGTCTTGGGTTTGAATTCCACAAAATATTTATGTTTCCCTGAACAAGAAAAACTTACTCTTTTTTGACCTAAGTTTCCTTATTTTTAAATGAGGAAGTTGGACATGATGGCCTCTAAATTCTAAAGCATTTTATCTCAGTCTATTTCCCCAAAGCAGTAACTCAACCTGAATTCGCAATCCACCCCCAAAAGGCTATAAAATTCGTTTCATTCCATCAAGGTGAAGAAAATTCCAGTCTGTCAGTCAATAACCATTTATTAAGCACATATTATGTAATGAGTTTTGTGCTAAGCCCTGGGGATAAAAAGAAAGTCCCTAGATAGTCCATGATCTCAAGGAACTCACAGTGCAATGGGGAATACAATAGACACAGATAGATAAATACCTAGAGAGATAGATAGATAAGAGATAGACAGACAAAGTACCCTTTCCTCAAAAAAAAATGATAAAGTTCCTAAACACAAGAAGCTTACATTCCAATAGAGGAAGACAAAATATCAAGGAGATCTAGAAATAAAGTCACTATATCTTGTTCATTCATTCCCCAATTCATGAAGCCTGAAGGGGAAAATAGTGAGTAACATGACTGAGACACATTCACAAATTATAATTTTGCCCAATGACTCACCAATCAAGAGAATCAGATTTAAAGAAGAATTACCCCAAGGTAGGTGTGCAAGAAATCTGATGGGAAGGTTTAATGGACTAGAGAGACAGCTAAGTTGAGTCAATTGGGTAGAATGAGTAGAAGTTCCTCAAGAAATAGTGCCTTTTAAAATGTGTGTAGTCTTGGTGAAGTTATTAAATTCCTCACTGCATTAGAATACTCCTTAAATGTTTAAGTTGTGAAGAAGTTGTAGATTGGCATTGATCGAGGGACTTTCTTCAGTTTAAAGTTCCCTATCCCAATGAAATTGAAGACCCTTTCCTTTATGTCTACCACTACAAGGGGATTGATGTTCTTGTTGAGTTGTGTCAGACTCTTTGTGACCCCATTTGTGGTTGTCTTGGCAAAGATACTGGAGTAATTTGCCATTTCTATCTCCAGCTCATTTTTAGATGAGGAAACTAAGGCAAACGGAGGGGTTAAGTAACTTTTCCAAGTACGCACAAATAATAAATGTGTGTATATTTTAACTAAGTGTAAATGGCCAGATTTGAACTGAGGAAAATGAGTCTTTTAGATTAGAAACCCAACACTATATCTCCTGTGCTACCTAGCTGCCCAGACACCCAGCTCTCTGGAAAAAGGCAAGGCAAGATAATATGTTTGGAACTATAAATAATGGGAAATTCAAAAGTATCAATAAATATTAAAAAATGTTGAATTGTTTTATTTATTAATTTGTAAGATGACACATTAATGCCACTTTGTTGTTGCCATTCAGTCATTTTTCAGTATTGTCATATGAAAAATATTTCTAAATCATGATTGATTCAAGAAATGCAGTTAAAAACCAAGAACTCTGAAATATCATGCCACATTTATCAGATTAACTAACATAACAGAAAAACAAAATAAATGCTGGAAGGAATGGGGAAAAATAGAGACACTGTGAACTGATCCAACCGTTCTAGAAAATAATTTGGAGCTATGCTCAAAGTCTATAAAACTGTATATACAACTTCGACTCATTTCTAGGACTATTCCACAGAAAGATAAAAAAAGGACTAATATGTATAAAAATTTATAGCATCTCTATTTGTGGTGGCAAAAGAATTAGAAATTGAGGACATAGCTATCAATTGGAGAATGGCTGAACAAGTTGTGGTTGTATGATTGTGATAAAATACTGTTGTGATATAAGAAATGATTAGGAGGATGATTTCAGAAAAAAACTTGGGCAGATATATGAACTGATGTGGAGTGAGCTGAGCAGAATCACAAAAATAGAGCAATTAAAATGTTTCTTTCTTTCTTTCTTTCTTTCTTTCTTTCTTTCTTTCTTTCTTTCTTTCTTTCTTTCTTTCTTTCTTTCTTTATTATTTAAGTCTCCACATTGTACCCCTCCCATAGTCACCAAGAAATCAACTAATATGCTAGCCACTATACCATTGAAATCATGTGAGGCATATATCCATATTAGCCATTTCAAAAAAGGAAGAAAAATACAAAAGTGAGAATATTATATTTCAATTTATATTCAGAGTTCATTGGTTCTTTCTTTGGAGGTAGATGACATCTTTCCTCATGATTCCTCAAGATAATTCCTCAATTATCTTGGATCATTGTATTAACCAAAGCAACTAAGTGTTTCACAGTTGATCATCATTGCAATATTGGTGTTACTATGTACAAAGATTTCTTGGTTCTGATCACTTCACTTTGCAGCAGTTCATACAAATATTCCCATGGTTTTTTCTGAAACCATTGCCCTCATCATTTCTCATAGCATGGTAGTTTACCATCACAATCACATACCACAACTTGTTCAGCCATTCCTCAATTTATGGGCATCTCACCAATTTCCAATTCTTTGCCACCAAAAAAAGAGCTTCTAAAATGTTTTTATATGTAAAACCTTTTCCTCCTTCTTTATTCTCTTTGTGGGACAGACTCACAAGAAAGGCATATTAATAAAATTTTAAAAATGAATTAGGAATTATAAATAAATGGATTTAACATTTATAAAACAAACTCATTGTGAAGTCACGCTATCCTCTCAGATTAAATGAACCACACTACTCGCATTTTATTATTGTCCTCTACCCATCTCATCGGACCCCTTGACTGGGGGGCAGAGTCATGACCTCTAAATCCTCCATTTAATGGAGGAGCCCAACACAGTCTTCTCTTTTCCTACCACTTGTACTCCCTTTGTACGTCTTGCTCGTGGTCTTTTGCTAGGTTCTATTTCCCCGTCATCTTCCTCTCCCCATTTCCTTTACACATAACACAGTGCCTGGCGCAAAGTAGGCATTCAATAATTGTTTATTGACTATTGACTAAGAACATCATGGACTCTCTCAGAGTCCCAATAACCATATAATGACATTTTAATGAGACTGAAGGGAGAAGATTTCCCCCCATATTGTTTATACAAGAGACTATATCCTATCTAATTATTCTCAAAGGATGGGTCAGAGAATCCATAGCAAGCCAAGATATGATGATGATTATTTTGAACACTCTGATGATTTCACAGCACCTTCTCCAAATGACACTAGGAAATATATTTCACTGAGTTCTAGAAGACATGCATCACCAAAAATCTCCAGAATGCCTACAGGTTCAGAGGTTTAGAATTCAGTGCCTTGCCATATTTTTAGTCTGCCAGGGAGAATGGAATTAATTGTGAGGAAAGAAATACTCTCCAGATTATGTGTAGAACTGTAAGTAGGTGGAGACTCTAATGACAATAACAACATAGAGTGGAAAGTATATACATCAGAACAAAGAACCTAGATATTTTCATTATGGTGATGATTATTTTCCTTCGTGACTGGTTAGTTTGCTCAGGTGCTTAATGCATGAACTCAAAATCATGGGCATTATCCCTGTGTAAATGATTCTTTTTTTTTTTCTGGGAGGTAGTTTGGCATCACACTGTGGATGGTGTGGTGGCTTGGAATTAAATAAAACCTTAGTCCAAATTCTTCTTCTGGCTCTTATGAGCTTCCCTCTGAGATTATCTCCAATTCTTCCTGTATATACCATTTGTACCTACTTATTTACTTGTTTTCTCCTCCTAACTGCCTGTGAGTTCTATGAGATCTGTGCTTTCTTTGTAGCCCTAGTGTTTACCACCACGTCTGGGACATAGTAGACACTTACTAACTGATTGCTGACTTACTATGACTTGACTATGACTAAGTCTCAGCCTCGCTGAACTGCCCATTTTTATGCCTGTAACATGTGCATAGTATTATCATTGTAGCTCACAGACTCATTTTGAAGCTCATCCGAGATGATATATCTAACATACTTCATGAATGTGAAGAATGTTATGTACATATAAGTACTATTTATTGTTCTGATCTATGATGATAGACCTCAGTTCCACTTCAAATTAATTGCAAATTTGTGTTGCTGATCACAAGGAAAAATGGGGCAAGAGGGTTAATTCCTTGCTGCACTTTGTCTATAGCTCAACCTTTATAATGGAGTACTATAAACATAACCGACATAGGAGCAGTATATAAGTTCTAAGTTCACCTCTCAGGTTCCCCTATTCCCTCATCAGTAACCCAACTTTGTTGCAACAAAGAAGGGTTGGCTTTTTGAATAAATTCAATGGAGGGAGTGCTGAATTTGGAAGCAAAAAACAACTATTTAACCCTGACTTCGTATTTATAACCTGGGGAATCTAGAATCAGTCACTGCATGTTTCTGTTTTTCCTTTGTAAAGAAAGGGCCTGGATGTTAGAGCTCTAAGCTTCCTTCCAGTTTTGAGTTTCTGCTCCCATGATCATATTTGATACATTCAGCAGAATAATGAGATACTTCACTGAGTCTATCTCAGCAATTCCCCAGCTGTTTTCAAAGAAGGTGTGTGGCCTTCAGAAACTCTTTCAGGTGGAGGTCACTTTTGAATGGCTTGAAATAGGTGCTACGTCTCCTAACTTCTTCTGACTGGAAAGTGGACATTTACATGTGTAGGAAATGAAGCAAATGTAAGTCATTTCTCAGTGAAAATTAAAATGAAGAGACTGCTGATATGAGCTAAAACCCTGTAAATTTGTATTTTGTCATGTTGTCCTCTGAGAATTCTAGGTCTTTCTCACTTTGGTTATAGAGGAGGAAAGAGAAGCCTGGACCACAGCAATACTTATTGTTTATGTATGTGTGAGGGTATGTCAATGTGTGTAAGTGTGTGTCTGCTAAAGGTGAATGTATAGGTTTGCCTATAGGGCAGGATGTGAGATTGTGCTAGATCAGTGAATTCAGGGGCACTGAGTTTTGACAATGCTGTTAAAATGGTAGCACTGTGATACTAAATGGTGGGATGTTTGGAAGACTGGAGAATGAATTCTGATGTTGACTTGGGAGTTCAGGTTTGGGGAAAAACTTGGGAAAGAGGCTGAGGTTTAGAAGAGTATTTGTGGTGAAGTGGAAGGATGATACACGTCTATTTATCCATCTCTCTATCTCTCTATCATAAATGTCTCTATCTCTCTCTCCATACATACATATAAATACACACATATATAGGTATATGTACTCTATTTTTATATATACACATGCAACTTATGTATATTTATATATGTAAAACTCACTTATGTTTATACATATACATACACACATATATGTATATCTGGATATTACTCCATCAGTATCTCTATTGCTGTCTGAAACATCCATTTATACATCTATCTATTCATTTATTTATCTATTATCTCTCTCTATATATATGTATTTGTGTATTAGTATATTTTCTCTATCTCTACATCCATCTCTCTCTATAGCTATCATCTCCATCTCCATCTCTCATAGTTTTTCCTCCAGCAGGTGCCTACAGAAATAAAATCACTGAACCATTCCTAATTCCTTTTCAAAGTCAATTAGATGTTGTAGTAGTTCATCCTCATGTAACTAATAAGGGAAATGGATACCTTTCACTCAATAAGAAATATTGTGCAATGATTTTTGGAAATATAAATTTCTCTGTTCGTGGCAGTATGGATTATATTTTGCAAAGAACTCATATTACAGGTCCTGGGCCCGATTCGCGGAGGAAGTAAGAAGTGAAAGATAAAGAGGCTATCCTAAGAATGAAAAGCCTAGAGAGGAGTAAAATTAACTCCAAAAATCAGATCTCTTGAATTCCCAGGTCCATTTTCTTATCATTGAACCAGATGGAAGACATGGGTTAGCCTTCAGGTAGGATTTATTTAACTTGGGGAAAGATGCTCTCACGAGAACAAGAAGAAACCATATTCTCCTTATTTACAGGAAAGATTCTCAGTGACTGAGGATAAAATGGGAATTTACTTGGGTGGGAATTTTTCAGCCTGAAGAACAAAAAGGCTTCTGCTAGTCATCAAATTTAAGGGCACAAATGGGACATCTCTTTTTTTTCAGAAAGCAAAGGCAATGTGGACATTCTTAGCATGAAAGAGGAAAGCATGAAGCAGTGAAATGTTGACCAATTGCTTGCTTATCAACTCTGATTCAGAGCTCTTGACACGTCGGACTAGTGCAAAAAAGGCTGAACTGCAGAGATGAGATTATGAAAGGCAATAAACAAACAGAAATATGATAAGCATTTTGGAAGAGCTGACATTTCTACTGTGATGTTCTTTTTCATTTAAGCCTATGACACGAATCTTAAACCATATATATTGATCATTTGAATAAGGGATAGAGTTATCTACCAACTAGGTAGTACAGTATACAATGCTGGGCCTGTAGTCAGGAAGACCCAATTTCAAGAGCTCAAATCTGATCTCAGATACTTACTATCTGTGTGTCCCTGGTTAGGTCACTTAACCCTGTTTGCCTCAGTTCCTCATCTGTAAAATGACCTGTAGAAAGAAATGGCAAACCAGCTCAGTACCTTTGCCAAGAAAAACCCAAACGACTTCATGTAGAGTTGGACACGACTGAGAAATGACTTAACAACAACAGAGTAATCACTATTTTTGGTTTAATAACATTTTGTATTTTTATTTTTTATGAGGAAAACTGCATTTAGAGTCTGAATAACTGGTTTCAAGTTCTGTCTTTATTACTATGGTCTTCGTTACTTTGTACAGAACACTGAATTAGTTTGGGCCTCGGTTTATTATCCTGTGAAGTAATACTATCAATAATATTAACTCAATTTATATACTGTTTATGATTTCAAACCACTTTCCTGAATGTAACCCTTTGAAATATGCAATAAATGTGTTAATCTTTCTCTCCTCCTCATCTTTCTCTCATTCTCTCTTTTTATCTAGATCTATAGATAGATAAATATTAATATAATGATATAGACATAGCTCTATAGATATATAAATGTGTCTGTACACATACATGTATTTATATGTGCATATGTGTGTATAAATGTATGTATGTATATTGGTATGTGTGTGTATGTGTGTGTGCGCATGCACACACTTGCACAAAATCCATCTCCACTCTTGGGGGTGATAGTCTTCTTTATTAAATTTGAAGTGCTAATGTTCATCATGTATAAGTTCCTCCGGTCATTCTGTAGAGCTAAGAATTTAACCCTCTGTTCCAGAATGGTTGGATGCGTCTTAACATCATCATTTCTACTGCAAGCTCTGCCTTCATCTGGTTATGGCTTTAAAATGGAATGTGATTTTAAGTTTGTTCAGGTTTATTGGAGCAGAATGGTTTTCAGGTTTTATCTGAGTAAACACTTTAATTCATTCTTCTTTTCAACCCTTTTCCTTCTACTCATAGTGTTATTTGATTTTAGTTAAATTGCAGCTCACCAGCGCGAATGGGCAACTTCTCAGTCATCACAGAATTCCTCCTCCTGGAGTTTTCCAGCATGAGGGAGCTGCAGGTCCTACATGCTTTGCTGTTCCTGCTGATTTACCTGGCTGCCCTGATGGGAAATCTTCTCACCATTGCTGCAATTATAACTGAGCCACACCTTCACTCTCCTATGTATTTTTTCCTGAGCAACTTATCCCTCCTGGATACCTGCACCATCTCAGTCACGCTTCCTAAATTCATTGTGAATTCCTTGTCTGGCACTCAGTCCCTGTCCCTCCTTGGCTGTGCTGCTCAGATCTTCTTCTCTCTCTTTTTTTCAGCAACAGAGCTTGCTTTGCTTGTGGCCATGTCCTATGACCGGTTTGTGGCCATCTGCCACCCCCTACACTATGGCATCATCATGACGCCAGCACGTTGTGTCTGGGCAGCAGCTGGCTCATGGCTCAGTGGGCTTATCTATTCAGCTGTCCACACTGGGAACATGTTCCGCCTGCCCTTCTCAGGATCCAATGTGATCCGCCAGTTTTTCTGTGATGTCCCTCATGTCTTGAAAGTCTCAGCCTCTGATGTGTTTCATGCTGAGTTTGTATTAATTGTAGCAAGTTTGTGTTTTTTGCTATGCTGCTTTGCCTTTTTAATTGCGTCATATGCTCGCATCTTCTGCAGTGTGCTCAGGATTCCTTCTATGGAAGGACGCCACAAGGCCATTTCAACCTGCTCCCCTCAGTTGATGATTCTCATGTTGTTTCTCATCTCTGTAATGATTGCAGTCCTCAAGGACACATCATACTCATCACCTATCGAAAACCTTTTAATTGCAATGGTTTATACAATACTGCCCCCATTTATGAACCCTATCATCTACAGCCTGAGGAATCACAACATTACAGTTGCCATGGGTAAGATGATCAGGAAGAGCTTTTTTTACCCAAGAATCAAATGTCCATCCTTCAAAACATAAAAAAAACTGAAGAATATGTATCTAATCTATCAAATGTGCAGGATGACGTATGAGGTGACCTAAAATGGGGAGAAATGGCACCAAAAATAATACCCCTTAGATGAAATGTTACATGGGATGAAATGAATCATTTATTTTTTTCCACAAAGCAGGGACCCATCTTGCAAGTAGTGATTGTCAAAAGTGGAATTATCATGATACCTGCCCATTGCCTTTGGGCAACATTGTCATCAGAAAAATGGATGGGACACTCATTGATTCCCAAACAATGATAGTAAGCTTAAACAAAATCAGCCATCAGGATAGTTGCATTGTTTTCCCCCTTAACTTGTTTCTTGCCTTCTCACTTTCATCCTTTTGTTTCTACCCATCTTTATGATGATAATATCCTTCTCCTTTTTGTGTTGAAGATCTAGTCATCCTTCAAATACACACGCATATACATATATACTTATACACACCTATACAAACAGATCTATAAATACACATACACATACACACATATAGGTATGCATGTATATAATAGTTCCCCGGGAACTTAACCTCTTTTTTAGTAAGTTTGCTCATTTGTAAAACAAGGGGGTTGGGCTTAAGGACCACTATAGTCCTTTCATCTCAATTTTGACGTTATGATTTTTCACAAACTCTTTCCTCATCCCTCAGACTGGAAGTAATTTTTCATTATACAGAATTTTATACATTATCTATCTTTTTTGTATGTGCTTATTGTTTTTTATTTTCTATATCATGTAGAAGTAGAAATGTCTTATCTCTCCTGGTGGATTTTTTGTTCCCTTTCAATAGCCCACAACTTGGTCAATTAGTAAAAAACTGTGACTGTCGTGAAGTGTTCATGTGTATTTCAATTGGCACAATTTGAAGTTACAATTATGAAAAATATGCTAATAGGTTCTAGTCCTAGGGAAATATCTCATGTAAATTTAAAAAATGCATCCGCCTCAGATGATTAATTGTTTGTATTAATTAGGTCCTAGGTAAACTTATTTACATCCCTAGCACCTAAGAGGGTTTTTGCACAAAGTAGGTGCATTATAAAGTACTCTATATTAATTTCAAGCTTTTTGAGAACAGAAGTTTTCTTTTACATAATTTTATATTTATCTACCATCAAGCATAGCATCTCTTTCTTAGGAGCAAATTAATGAAAATCTGTTTAATTGAATAAGTTGATAGAGAGAATGAGAGAGACAGACAGAGAGAGAGAGACAGAGAGACAGAAAGAGACAGAGACAGAGACAGACAGAAACAGAGACAGGGAGAGACAGAGACAAATAGACTAAGATACAGAGACAGAGAGACAGAAGAGACAGCAAGAGATTGTATGAATGGATGGATTTATGGATTTAGGATGGATGAATGGATAGAGAAAAAGCATTCAGTAAGTGCTCATTTTTGACCTTCTAAAGATCTAGAGATTGATGGCAGAGTAAAGGCAGAGACTTAATCAACTTTCCCAAATTCCCCTTCAAAAAATTTTAAAATGACGTATCAAATCAAATTCTAGAGTGGCATAACCAACAAAAAGTCAGGGTAAAATAATTTTCTAGCACAAGAGAACTGAGGAGGTTGGCAAGAAATGTCTGTTTCACCAGGGTGGTGGTCAGGCCTGAATTACAGTGCAGTGCAGGCTGCACCCTGGAAAACCATCAGTGGGCTATGGGAGTGGGTGCATTGGTCCTAGGTTTTGGGACAAGAACTCAGTATTTAACAAAAATTTCAGGGACAACTGGAAAGCATTTGGTCAAAAAACTCGATATAGAAGAACATCTCACATCTTATACCGAGACAAAGTAAAAACGGGTACATGTTTTAGGCATAAAGACATATCATAAGGAAATTATGCGACTATGGAATATTTTACCTGTCAGATCTATGGATAAAGAAAGAATTTATGACCAAATGAGATAGAGAGCATTATAGGATGTAAAATGATTATATTAAATTAAACTTTTTGCTTAATCAAAACCAATATAGCCAAGATTAAAAGGAAAGCAGGAAATGCGGGGTGACATTTATGGCAAGTTTCTCTACTTAGGGCCTCATTTCTCAAGTACGTAGAGAAACTAGTCAAATTTATAAGAATACAAGTCATTCCCAATTGATAAATGGTCACTGTTGATTAGGGAAAACAACTCTGAAGTATCCACTCCTATCTATCAGACTGGCTATTATGAAAGGAAAGGAAAATGATAAATGTTGGAGGAGTTATGAAAAAATTGGAACTCTAATGCACTGTTGGTGGAGTTGTGAACTGTTCCTACAATTCTGGAGAATAATTTGGAACTGTACCCCAAGGTCTCTAATTCTGTGAATACCCTTTCACCCAGAAATACCATTACTATATCTGTATCCAAAAAAGTTCTAGATTAAAGGAAAAAGGAAACATGTACAAAGATATTTATAGCAGCTCTTTTTCTAGCAGAAAAGAATTGGAATTTTAGGGGCAATTATCAATTAGGGAGTGGCTAAAGAAAAGTGACATATGATTGTTATGTAATACTATCATCTATAAGAAATGATGAGCAGGATGGTTTCAGAAAAACCTGGAAAGACATATAAACTGTTGCAAAGTGAAGTGAGCAGAACCAGGAGAACACTGTACACTGTAACAAAAAATATTATAGAATGATTAACTGTAAATGACTTAGCTATTCTCAGCAATTCAGTGATCTAAGACCTAATGAAAAATGCTATCCACCTGAAGAGAAAGAACTGATGGAGTCCAAAAGTAGACTGAACTCAATTTTTTTACTTTATTTCTCTTATTTTTTTGTGTGTGTTTTATTTTGTCTATTTCCTTTTGCAACATTTCAAATACTGAAATAAGTTTTTGCTGACTACACATGTATTATCTCTATCACTTTGCATGCTTTTTCAAGGATGGGCCAGGGAGGGACAGAGAGAGTGAGGGAATTTGTAACTCAAAATTTTAAAAAAATATTAAAAATTGTTATTACATCTCTTTGGATAAAAAAATATACAAATTATTATTCAGAAAAAAAGTTAAAAAAAGAGCTAGAGATACAAACAACTAAGCCATATGTCCCCAGGAAGCATCATTCTAGTAAAGGAAGGCAAAACATAAAGGGAACTGGAAGGGGAAGTGCCTATACAGGGGTAGTAATGTTGGTAAAATGTTATGAAGTGCAGGGAAGGAGTTGACCTGGTGGTGAAGTCAGCATTGCTTGGGTCTCTCATTAAATGGTTGTCCCTTCCCTTCCCATGACCTTTTCTCTCATATATTAAAAATGTAGTATTTCAATTTCAAATGCAGCCATCTATTCACATTTTTCATGAAAGTTCTTATGTACTTTGTCATGTGAATTATATCTATGAGTATGACTTAATCAACTCTTAGAATATATGCTCCATAAGGGTAGAGAGGAGAGTTTAGTCTTAATGGTGTATTCCAGGTCCCATGACATACCGGAAATGCAGACATTACACACTGTACTCTTCCTGCTGATTGACCTTTTGGTCCTGAGATGGAGAATCTTCTCACCATTGCTGTAATTATTACTATTGCATACCTTTGTTCTCCTATCTATTTTTTTTCTGAGCAATATATGCTTGCTAAGTATCTGTGGCATCTCAATCATGCTCCAGAAATTCATCATAAACTCCTTGACTGTCCTTTAACCCCTATCTCTTCTTAGCTGCACAGCTCAGGTCTGCTTCCTTCTCTTGTTTGAAGCTACAAAGTTTGCTTTGAGAATGGCCACTTGCTATGCCTGCTTTGTGTCCGTCTGTCACCCCCTACTGTATGCCATCACTAGGATGTCAGTACATTGTCTTTGGGTGGTTGGCTCAACATCTGCAGTATGAGGAATCTCACAGCTCCCATTGACAAGATAATTCAGAGAACATTTTTTTCTTCCTTCTAGGTTCCTTAAGGGTCTATCCAACATGGTGGATCTTTAATAAACCTTGTCTTTGGCTTAAAGAAGGCTTGGGTTAAATTCATTTGGGCAACACCTTCATGTTGCTTTTTCAAGATCCCAGCACCTCTAAGCCCCTAAACTTCAACAAAAAGACATAGAAGGTATCCATATACTTCACCCGACTGCCAAAGACCATGTCACCGGACATGACAAAAATGACAACAGCAAAAAGAACATTAGGAGCATGAGCAAGAACTATGACAATCCACTTGATGGAGGACTCAATGGAAACACCCCTTTCTACATGAAACCTTTCCTGATGCCCCCAACTGCTAGTGACCTCCCTGCCAAGACACACTTGATGGCTTTATTCTCTTTTATATTTGCAACAGTGACCTCTCTGTCCCTTCCCCAGCATGTGAAGGCAAGGCACGGAGGGATTCACTAATCAGTCTTACTGTCAACATGCTGGCTTTGAATCTACATGATGGGATTGGAGTGAATTGGAATGAGAATTCTACCAATTGGAATTTCTTCATTCTGAGAAAGCCACAACTTCACCTTGTGTAGCCTGAAATGTTTTGGGTAGATAAAAGCATCCTATAGACACAACTGAACTGAGTCTAAAGAGTGCTATAAAACAGGAATTTCAAGAAGGCCATGTTTTCTTGCCAGTGAATAATGTGAAAACACAGGGAGAGGGAAGAATGAGTGACCATTTAAAGTAATCTCTGTGGAAAGGCAAATTCAACTAAATTCAAATTGTTTCAGTTCAAGGAAAAGCAAAACACAACCAAAAGAAACCAAAGTGGTCACATATCTTATCTCAAAAATGTATTCCGAAGAACAAAGTGGGGAGGTTGATCTTGAAGAATACCATATTCTATAGATGACTGCTTTCATTAAAGAGTGAGAACTAAGGAATATGCAGGGCAGCTAAGTGGCACATGGGTAGAGGGCTGGGCCTGGAGTCAAGAATATCTATCTTCCTGAGTTCAAATCTTGCCTCTGACACTTACTAGTTGTGTGAGCTTGGAAAAGTCACTTAACCCTGTTTGCCTTAGTTTACTCATCTATAAAATGAGCTAGAGAAGAAAATGGAAAACCACTCTTGTATCTCACAAGACAACTCCAAATTGAGGGGTGTGGCATGGACATTTAATAAACTCAAAGACTTTCAGGTTTTTGTGACAAAACCCCCAGAACTTAAAAGAAAATTCAACATATAACGCTGAGAAGAAATATACAGTAATCTCCAATCATAATAGATTCAATAAGGTCAAATGGTTTACTTTGTATAAGTGAAAATATGAGTAATACTCTTATGCTTGTTGTCATCTGGGTAGTTTAAAAGAAAGGAGTGGGCTGAACTGAGTATGATGGGGGTGATTCTAAAAACACTGTGTAGGGAGAAATAAAGAAAAAGGAGTAATTATCTTATACAAATGAGGCACAAAAGAAAAAACTGATAGAGAAGAAGCTAGTAAGGTGGAGGGAAGGTATGCTGGAATCTTACTCTCATCAAGAATGGGTTAAAGAGGGGAAAACATGTACATCCAGAAGGGTTTAAAAGTCTTCTAAATTCAGAAAGAAATAAAGTGGCAAGAGGATAGGGTGAGGGAAGGGGAAAAGAGCTGGACCCTTAACGGAGTTGATAGGTTAAGAAATAGGAGGGCAATGTAATGGGTAAAAGTAAAGTAGAACAGTGAGGAGGGATAGGGTAAATAAGGTGAGAAGAATAGTGAAGAGAAAGAGGAAGGAGGAAAATACATAAGTAATTATAGCTTGTAATGTGAATGGGATGAATTTACCCATAAAACAGTAAAGTACAAGAGTAGAATTTACTATGTAAGAAAAGCAGGGATAGCAATCACAATCTTAGACAAAGTTAAAGTTAATATAGATTTAATAAAAAAATAGAGAAACCGCACCATGTGGCAGCAATATTAATCAATATTGTTTTAGATCATCGGAAATACCTAGACAGTATAAAATATCTGCCAAAAGACACACAGGAACTATATGAACATAAATATAAAACACTTTTTATACAAATAAACTCATATATATATATAATTGAAATATTATTTATTGTTCATGGTTAGCAAAAGTTAATATAATTTTTAAAATCAAAATTTTACCTAATTTCTTTTTTCAATGACATCTCAATTAAATTACTAAAAATTATTTGAATTAGTTAGAAAAAAAAAGAAAACCAGAAAAAAAAAGATACAAAGGGAGGAGATTCAGCAGCATCAGACCTTAAACTATAAGGAAGAGCATTGTGGAAATGTAAAAATGATAATTTTAATTATTTTAAATGAAAATTTTCTTGTATAAATTAAACTTATGTAGCCAAGAATAGAAAGAATGCAGAAAATTGGGGAAACATTTTCATAGACAATCTCTCAGATAAGGTGTCATTGGGTGCTGTGATGTAGAACATGATGATCTGGTTGATTTAGAAAAACATGAAAAGACTTGGATCTTCATTAGAAAGGTGCTATCTGCCTTTGGAGAAACTGATGACAGGTAGAAATAAGCATAATAGTCTTATCTATGTGTATGAGTACATATGTGTGTATATGTGCATGTTTATATATATGTATATGTGCATATATAAAATATACACATATACATATATACAAACATATACACAAACACACACACACATATAATGTCCATCCTTGAAAACATAAAATGCTAAGAAACATGTCTAAATATGCATAAAAGAGCTTAAAATCGGTAGATACTCATCTTTCATATACACACATATACATACATATGTATACATATATGCATCTACACATACAAATATATACACATACATACAGATACAAATACACACCCACATGCATGTATGTATATAACAGTCCCCTGAGTACTTTGTTCCTATGTTTGCTCATTTGTAAAAGTAAGGGGTTTGGCTTAATGATCATTGTAGTCTTTTCATCTCAATTTTGATGTTATGATTTTGCGCAAAGTCTTTCCTCATCCATCAAGCAGGAAGTAACCTTTCATTATGCATAATTTTATATATTACCTATCTTTTGTCGTATGTGCTTATTGCTTTTTATTTTCTATTATATCTATAAGTAGAAATGCTTTATCTCTCCTAGTGGATTCTTCGTTCCCTTTCAATAGGCTACAGCTGAGTCACTTAGTAAATATTATGGTTCTCTTGAAGTAATCATGTGCATTTCAGTTGGCACACTTTGAAGTTACAGTTGTGAAAAATATGGTAATTGGTTGTAGTTCAAAGGAAATATCTGGTGTGAATTTTAAAAAATGAAACCACCTCAGAGGATTAATTATTTATACCAATTAAGCCCTAGGTAAACTCCTTGACGGCAAATACTGTTTCAGTTTTTTCTTTATATCCCTAGCACCTAAGAGGTTTTTTGTACATAGTAGGTACATTATAAATTATTGTATATTAATTTCAAGCTTCTTGAGAAAAGATGCCTTCTTTTATATAACTTTACATTTATCTACCATCTAGCATAGCATCTCTTTCTTAGGAGCAAATTGATGAAAATGTGTTTAATTGAATACCAGAGGAGAGAGAGAGACAGAGACAGAGAGAGATAGAAAGATAGAGAGACAGAGACAGAAAGAGGGAGAGATAGGAAGAGAGAGGAAGAGATAGAAAGAGAGGGACAGAAACAGAGACAGACATTGAGACAAAGAGAGACAGAGACAGAGACAAATAGACTAAGAGACATAGACAGAGAGACAGAAGAGACAGAGAGATTGTAGTATGAATGGATGGATTTATGGATTTAGGATGGTTGGATGGACAGAGAAAAAGCATTTTTTAAGTGCTCATTTTTGGCCTACTAAAGAGCTAGAGATAGATGGCAGAATAAAGGCAGGGACTCATCTGAGCTTTCCCAAATTTCCCTCCAAAAAACTTTAAAATGATGCATCAAATCAAATTCTAGAGTAACAAAACCAAGAAAAAGTCAGGGCAAATAATTTTCCAGCCCAAGACAACTGAGGGGGTTGGCAAGAAATGTCTCTTTCACCAAGGTGGTGGCCAGGCCTGAATTACAGTGCAGTGCAGGCTGCACCTTGGAAAGCCAGCAGTGGGCTATGGAAGTGGCTGCATTGTTCCAAGGTTTTGGGAGAAGAACTCACAATTTAGCAAAAATTCTGGGAAAACTGGAAAGCATTTGGCCAGAAAATTGGTGTAGAGCAACGTCTCACATTGTACATCAAGTTAAAGTGAAAATGGGTACATGTTTTAGACAGAAAGACTGCTATCATAAGCAAATTATAGGACCATGGAATATATTACCTGTCAGATCTATGATAAGGAAAGAACTTATAACCAAATGAGATACAGAACAGTATAGGATGCAAAAGGAATAATTTTGATTATATTAAGTTAAAATTTTTTCTCAGTCAAAGCTAATGTAGCCAAGATTAGAAGGAAAGTAGGGAACTGGGGGAAAATTTACAGTAAGTTTCTGTTACAGGCTTCGTTTTTCAAGCATATAGAGAAACAAGTCAAATTTATAAGAATACAAGTCATTCCAATTGATAAATGGTCACTGTTGATTAGAGAAAACAACTCTGAGATACCATTTCACATCTATCAGATTGGCTAGTATGACAGGAAAGGAAAATGATAAATGTTGGAGGGGTTATGGAAAAACTGGGAAACTAATACACTGTTATTGGAGTTTGAACTATTCCTACCATTCTGGAGAATAATTTGGAACTAGGCCCAAAGGTCTATAAGTCTGTGAATACACTTTGGCCCAACAATGACATTACTAGATCTGTATCAAAAAAAATAATCAAAGATTAAAGGAATAGGAAATATGTACAAAAATATTCATAGCAGTTCTTTTTCTGATGGAAAAGAAATTGAAAATTCATGGAATGACCATCAATTAGGGAATGGCTAAACAAATTCTGGTATATGATTGTGATATACTATTGTCTATAAAAAATGATG